ACACATATGTCAAGTATTATATGTTCATTTAGCTTAATTCATGCTATTTAGCCCTCACCGAGATTACTATCTCAGTTTAGGTGGCATTAATGTGACATTAAATGATAGATGAAATTAAATAAGCCATTTAATTTCATATTACATTCAAACTATCATTTAATGTTACATATATTGGGGTTATAATTTCAATGAGACTACATAACATTACTCTTTAGAAAGTGAAAAATTGTATAGACAAAGTTCCTTCCTTTTATCTGACAACTTTTAGTTTCTATCTGCCAACAGAAACCCTAAATCACATCCGTTAATAACCCTATCTGCAGACAAGGCCATGTGAGGAAGATAACACCCCTTGGTTTTCAAACCCTAATAATAATTACTGCTATTAACAACAAAAACTAATTAAAGACACCACATATACTTGTACAATAAAAGGGTTATTCAGAAAGTGCAAAAATAAAAACAAGTTTTACGAAATGTAAAAGAGTATCAGCAGATTCTAGAGACAAAATCTGTGCGCCGCCAGTGTAATCATGCAGAGAAGGCGAATTCCTTGAGAATGGCAAAAAATCACACTTGCTAATCTTGTTTCCCGAGAATCGCGATTCTTCTGATTTCGTGTTGGATTTGGACGTTTTGATGCTGACCCTTTTTTCAAATTCTTTTTTTTTTCCTTTCAATATTTTAAAGAAATTTCAATTAAAAATTTGTTATGAGACGCCGCAAGGGATGTTAGTGGACAACATTGTAGAAAATATACAATTATTTATTGCCATTTTGTTAAAAAAATTATTTAGTTTGTGATATTTAACTCGATTGAAGAGTACATTCGATAAAATTTATTTTCTTTTCCTTTTAATAGTCTGCAATATTACAATTCATTTTTTTCGATATTCAGACTGTAGTCCAATTGTAACTTCCTAATGTATTTAATTTCGCTTATAAGTACAATTTTTAATTTCCTCTTACTAGAATATGATACTTGCAATCTCAGTAATTGGTGCGATCAATAAAGTTCTAAAAACTTGCTCTTAATATAAAAAAGTTCGAAAAAAATCATGAATGGAATAAACACTAGAGAAAAAATAAAGAATAAGTGGACAAATTGACAACGTAAAATTTACTAGTAAATTCATTATCTTCCAAGTATTTGTACAATGGTCGAAAAATACTTTTAAACTTCATTAAAATTTAAAATAAAATTTAATTTTTACATACAAATATATTCACAGATAATTATAAATGTTTTGTCCTAGTTATTGATGTTACTTTATTTAGGATGGCACGAAATAACTAGGCAGTTGATATTGGATAGTCTCATTATGTGATTGGCCAGAACAGATGCAGACAGAATTCCAAGAAAAATAAATTGAAATATACAAAACAAGTAGTTGGTGCATTTACATTTTTTCATCGTAAAAGAAAAGGCAAATAATTAGAAAGTTACCTCGAGAGAAAAGAGAAAGCAATTCAGGACAGTAAATTCTTGGAATATTACAATCCGCGTGCCAGATATTAGAAAAAAACCATATTCCAAATTCAACCAAAATAAATAAATAAAGAAGAATAATCAAATTGAACTTGAACAAAAATAAATTTTGCTAATTGAACTTGAAATCGGGGTAACGTATAAGAATCGATCTGATCAACCAATTTGATCCGAGAAAATGGAAATTTCATTACCTGTCTTCCAACTACTTTTTTCAAAAAGACGAAAGTTCAATTTGATCCTTTACCTTTTTGCATATCAAAGTTACAAGGAAGAGAACTCTTGGATAATTGTTTCTTGGAAAAAATTTCTTGTTCCAATTTGAGAGTTATACTTTTTATTGATTAAATGAGTAATCCCCCAAGTACAAGGGCTCTTTCACAGGGGTCTTACAGGACCCTTTACTGTAGCGCCGACCCCACCCCAATGTATTTAAAAAAAAAAATTTGTGGCCCCCACCCCATATGTCTGACCTGGTAGCCACCTGTGAAACAGTGGCCTGTACTTGTAGCAGGCCTCTGATTAAATTTGAGCTGATCGTCACTTTAGAAATGAAATTGAAGAAAAGGAATTTTGAACAATGTTTTTTGTATATAATTATTTATATACAGAAGAAATGTCAAAAAGAGAGTGAAGAATTTTTTTATTTTATTGAAGAAATTTTGACCCAATCAGATTTCACCACATCATTTGTATTTAAATCATTATCTACATGTAGCACAATCGAATAATTTTTTCAGTATAGTCAAACTTGTATTCTATGAGAAAATGATGTAATTTCAAATTCAAAGTCATTAATTCTCTCAAAAATCGAAATCAATCTTCTACATTGCAATTTGGTCCGGTGCTTTCTTTTGCTACATTCAACTAGACAACTACCCTATACTTTTCTATTGAAAAATCTATCTAGATATATAGGAATTAGGATACTTGCATAGTGTGGGACAAATTAAGGCCAACTAATCCAGCATAATACAAGCTAATTCTTTAGTTTAATCCCATCCATTATTGTGTAAATTTGATATCATAACAACAAATATTGCAAACTCGAGGATTTTTCAAAAAAAGAAAAATAAGAAAAAGAAAGTGTCATTAATTAATAATTAAACCGATACAAGAAATCGTGACACATTATTGTCGGTTATATAATTTTTTTATTGATGGATTTACTCGAAAACTTCAAAAAATAAAAAATCAGATCATTGACAACCACAACATGTTGAGTTAATTTTGACTCATCGCTTGACTTTTTAGTGTGTTTAACTAAGGCCATTGTGAAAATGATCTCTCGAGAATAATAAAAAGAACCATGCTACGTGTAAGCTCAGATTTGTTAATTGGAGTTTGGCAAAAAACCAAATTCAAAACATCCAATCAAAGGCTGCCATCTCAACCCCTTTACACCGGCAATCTCCCCATACAAGGGACTTATTCCTAATAGAAAACCTATTTTCTCATGGTAGGAGGTTTTGTTCTTAATTTTCCGGTGCCATCTCCACTAGTTGAAACTTGAAATGTTCATTTCATTTCTTGTCTATTTTAGTTCGATCTTGCTACTTGTACATCACATTGTATATCGGGGTGTACACTCCCCTCACATGAGGGTAGGACCCGCTTTGATTAAAAAATAATTTATGCAATGGGTCCCACACCCCATGTGAGAGGGATGTAGCCCCTTATATACAATTTGTGATGTACAAGTAGCATTTTTGATTTAGTTTACCCTCACATCTGTTCAAATGTCTTAATTTTCGGTACATTTTTCTTATGATTAAGCCCCTGTTTGGTACATATTAAAATTTTCATTTTCATTCTTCTACTAATTTTCAACTACGTATTTTTCAATAAAATAATATTTTCCATCATATCAATAGTTTTTCCTTCTTTTTCAACCACACATTCTCCATCAATTTACTATTTCAAAATAATGTGGCTCACACACACCCAAAGCTTCACTTATCTTCTTAAAGCTATTATGCCCCCCTTTGGCACCCATTAATTTCTCATTCTGTCATTAATTAATAATTAAACCGATGCAAGAAATCGTGACACATTATTGTCGGTTAGATAATTTTTTTATTGATGGATTTACTCGAAAACTTCAAAAAATAAAAAATCAGATCATTGACAACCACAACATGTCGAGTTAATTTTGACTCATCGCTTGACTTTTTAGTGTGTTTAACTAAGGCAATTGTGAAAAGAATAATGCTACTTGTACATCACCCCTTACACAAGGAGTGACATAATGTACAAGTGGCATCTCCTCATTGAAGGGGTGCCGAGGCACCACATGTGGGCCGAGGCTCTCCTCCAGTGAGGAGGCGCCACTTGTGTATTATGTCACCCCTTGTGTGAGGGGTGATGTACTCGTAGCGGAATCGGAAAAGAATATGATCTCTCGAGAATAATAAAAAGAACCATGCTACGTGTAAGCTCAGATTTGTTAATTGGAGTTTGGCAAAAAACCAAATTCAAAACATCCAATCAAAGGATGCCATCTCAACCCCTTTACACCGGCAATCTCCCCATACAAGGGACTTATTCCTAATAGAAAACCTATTTTCACATGGTAGGAGGTTTTGTTCTGAATTTTCCGGTGCCATCTCCACTAGTTGAAACTTGAAATGTTCATTTCATTCCTTATCTATTTTAGTTCGATCTTGCTACTTATACATCACATTGTATATTGGGGTGTACACTCCCCTCACATGAGGGTAGGACCCGCTTTGATTAAAAAATAATTTATACAATAGGTCCCACACCCCATGTGAGAGGGATGTAGCCCCTTATGTACAATTTGTGATGTACAAGTAGCATTTTTGATTTTAGTTTACCCTCACATCTGTTCAAATGTCTTAATTTTCGGTACATTTTTCTTATGATTAAGCCCCTGTTTGGTACATATTAAAATTTTCATTTTCATTCTTCTACTAATTTTCAACCATGCATTTTTCAATAAAATAATATTTTTCATCACATCAATAGTTTTTCCTTCTTTTTCAACCACACATTCTCCATCAATCTACTATTCCAAAATAATGTGGCTCACACACACCCAAAGCTTCACTTATCTTCTTAAAGCTATTATATATTGTTTTGGAAATTGACTGAGAAACAAATCATATTAAACTATTGTTTCTTTAACATTGTTTAACGCGACTGTTGGTATAGAGTTAATCGAGACTTGCACAAGCTTGGAATCATATAATCATTCAAAAACTCGAGTCATATATTTGCTTAGTAAAATAAAAACTAAATTTGTCAATCACAAAGTTCAAATTATTTTGATTTTGTAGTGTCGACATGAAGTAATTTTATTATTTAAATAATTATGACATTAAAATCTCTCCTCTCCAGAAAGTGTAAATTCTGGGCTATAAATTCATCCTCCACCCCACGCTTTATCACACGGTTTCAGGTGCGAACTGAGCTCTTCATAAAACATAGTCCAAACTGCTCTGCCAGGAATTGATTCGTCTGTAAATTATTATCAAAAGTTTAATTGAAAATGGAAGAGGCCTTGAGGAGGCTTAATGGCTCCCACCCACAAATGCAGGAACTCGATCAACTTCCTCCCACCTCAGCCGTTCCTAAGAGGAGCACCACCGCTACCACCAACAAGAGGTCATTGAAAGACGGTTCAACATCTGGTGGCACTATGAGGTACCGAGGTGTCCGCCGCCGTCCATGGGGCCGTTACGCGGCGGAAATAAGGGACCCTCAGTCGAAAGAGAGGCGGTGGCTAGGAACTTTCGACACGGCGGAGGAGGCGGCGTGTGCCTATGACTGTGCCGCCAGAGCCATGCGCGGTGTAAAAGCTAGAACTAACTTTGTTTACCCTACATCTCCGACGCACACGGTGGATAATCTCATCCCTCCATATAGCTTCAAGAAATCGTCTCAGCCCTCCATTTGGGACTTGACTTCTCGCCAGTTTGTTTCTTCAAACCCTAATCTTGTTGACTTCCATGAATCTTCTTCATCAGCTGAAACACAGAGAAGCAATTCTCTTAACATGCTGCTGCTTCGTGATTTTCTGAACTCCAGTTCAAACAACTCATCTTTATATTCTTATGAACAAATTCCCATTTTCAGTTCATCTTCTGTAAAACCTAACAATGGATTCATGGCCTCATCTTTGGCGAATCTGTCGTGCAATACAACTGTTCAATCCAATACTGTTAATGCAACCATAGTTTCTGATCAGAGCTTTAGGGATGGTTCAAACTTCAGTCTCCCTGATCAATCATCTTGTTTAGGGTTTCAATCAAGAAATCACAACACCACCGTTGATCAAGCTGACTGCATGGATTTTTTCCACTTGGAGAAGCCTGATTCCGGCTTATTGGACTCTGCCTTACATGGGTTTTTCCCAAAACCTACTGTGGTGAAGGCTGATCCACCACCATCATTTTCTTCTTCAGCTACTGAATTTAATCCAAAACAATCACTGGAGAGCGTGAAGAAATCTTTTGACTATGAAAGCCAAAGAATTCCTCAGCAGTTTCACAATTTCAACAGCACTTCTTTTGGTAATGAATCCATTTTTACTCCGGTATACAGTGACGTGCCGTCCAACCTTCAGGCTACCCCTTCTGGAATACTGTCTGATATCTTTCAGTATCATGATGCACTTGGACTCTTCTCTGCTAAGGTGCAGAATGCTTGAATTCTCATGGTGCGTTGACGCCTCTATATGTATTTCAAGAATCCAATAGTTGGTCTTTATTTTGTTGTCCAGAAAATGTTACTTCAAAAATGGGTTTGTGTTTATTATTTTAGAGTGTGCTAAATCTTTGTTCACAAATCTGATGTACTAGTGGAGGGAGATATGATGTTTCTTCTGATTGATTGACTTTCTTCTTAGACCTTATTGTAAACATATCTAGTTTTTGAATCTAATGCGATCGCAAAATTCTGAGACTTTTAATTAGATTTAGTTTGATACTCGAGTTGGATGAATTCGAATTGAGTTAACTGAAGCAAAACTGATATAGATTGCAATCAATTTGCATCGAAAAAAACAACCGTTCGGTAACTCTAAAATTTCGTCTAAGTTTTCCAGCATTTCTTTCTTGGCCTATGTTGTTTAAGTTCAGCGGTATGTGTAAATGTCTGTTGATTTTATTAGGAGTGGTGAGTTCATTTTTTCTAGATCCTTCATGTTAGAAACGATCGTACTTTACATGCTTCGCCTTTTGGGGCTTTTCCTGAGTTGACCTTCGATTCATATGATCCTTCATGTTAGAAACGATCGTACTTTACATGCTGCGCCTTTTGGGGCGTTTCCTGAGTTGACCTTCGATTCATATAAAGCTGTTTTGCCCAGCTTTTGTTTCTTTCAGTAAATCGTTTTTTTTTTAATATTTTATTGTAACTTCTATTTCCTAGTGATATATCATATATGAAGAAAAGAGAAAAAATAAAAGAAAAAAGACCCTAGATTTTGTTGGGCGGATATGCTATGGGTTTCTTGCAACTACAAAAAGTATGGAGGGTCAGCTTATGTTTGGTAGCAGGCAACGGTAGTGGAAGGGAAATTAAAATACCAGTTTGAACTTAACAAAATTGCTTAATTATGAGTTCTCATATCACTTAAATCCCGCATCATATAAATATGAAATTATAAACCAACATATACTGAGGGTGAATTTTAAGATACAAATTTCATATCGCACAAAGATGAAAATATAAATCAACATCTATACGGAAGCTTATTAAGAGATAAATCCCACATTATGTAAAGAAAATTATTATTTTGAACCTTTTAATCTATTTAGATGAAGATAATAAAAGAAGATTTGGACCAGGGTGTATGCCGGAGATTTAAATTGGGATGGTCGGAAAAATACATAATTGGCTTTTAAGGTTATTTTGCCCACCGAAGATAGTGAATAGTAATAGTAATTCAATATAAAAGTTTTGATGGATTATGTAATCCTCATAATTTGAGGATAAATAGTGGTTCGAGGTCAAATTACTTGGTACATCGTTGAAAGAACATATTTTCGAGAGTGCTAGCAAAAATCTTAAGCAAGTGTTTGGTTAATATTAAAATTAAAATTAAAATTTTAGTATATTGTGATAAAAGGTTTTGAAATATGTGGTTGAAAAGATGTGGGACCCATAAAAGATATGGTTAATATTAATTATTTGACTTTGATTTAGATTAAAATATGATTTTAATCCAAAACAAATATGACCTAAATTGGCTAAGGTTAACTTCTAGCTACAAACAAAATACTTTTATTCTCTTATTAGTTGAATTTAAATTACAATAAATTAAGAGGTTTTGACCATTATAATTTAATTATGAGTGTTATTAAAGAAAATACTCCATGAATACTATTTAATACTATGCATAATTGAAAGGGCTGGACCATTTTTAGTTCCATTATTAGTGCTATTCAATAGACGCGCTCGACGTGGTTTCACGGGTAAGTTGTAAAAATTGACTTATTGGATGCCTATGAATTAAATCACGCTGTGTAATATTGAACTTTTAAGATACAAACTCTAGGATTAGAGGTCATAAGTCTTAAACGACTAATCCAATTTCTGTAAAGCTCAAGTGGAAGTTGAATATCGAGATTGATGTTATCAAATGAGCTCTTATCAATCTTATGCAGAAACAATCGTATATATTTGTATGTGTTGCCAATAATTAATTTTTCTTGAGAAAAGACCAATTTATAAAGAATTGGGACCATGGTAAAACCTAGGGAGATTAATCAGTTTTATTTAGACCTTCTAGTTGATATATTAATGCGCAATACGCCAGATATAAAATCAAATCACATAATTTTTCATACATGTCGACCATAAATGTCAATTTTTTTGTGAGTGTCGAGTAAACAACAAAAAAAAAAGAAAAAGGAGCTTATCGTTCTTCTTCATCCCACTTCTACTTCACCAAAATTTCTTCCTTCAACCCTCCAATCAATCCCTAGTTTCACCATAGTTTATAAGCGCATATTAATTATGCGGTTATTTATGCTTTCTTTATTTACTTATTCATGATTTATTGAGCAGATATCTACTTAATATAAGTGAAAATATATTGATTAACTGTAGGTAAACCCCCAATGTGGATGTATTTGGATGCAATTGGCATAACAATGCCACATTGGAGTTAACTTAGAGTATTGATAATCAATCGGGTTGCAATTGACCAATTGGAAGACTGATGAGAGAAATCGGGACTTATTCACAAGTTTCAAGAGCTGAACGCGACATTTGAGAAGTTTAGGGACATAATTTCATACTATTGAAACTTTCATCAGATAGATTATGGATGATTGAAGAATGTTGAGGATCAATTTAGAGTGACTAAAGATGAAGGATTAAACGTTGAAAGAAAAAAGGACCAATGGAACCAAGTTAGAAAAAAAGGGACCAATTTAAATGAATCTGGAAGATATTAAAAATTATAATCATGCGACAGCAGAGGTTAATTTCAAGGAGCAGAATGCTTTGATTTATAACCATACGATCACTATGATTTGCACCATGCAACAACGTGGTTATATAAGACACAAATTATTTTGTTTTCTTTTCTTGATCTACATAACAAGCCCACTACGAAATCACGTGCAAATGTATGTTGATTTATTAGGAATGGTGAGTTCATTTTTTCTAGATCCTTCATGTTAGAAACGATCGTACTTTACATGCTTTGCCTTTTGGGGCTTTTCTTGAGGTGACCTTCGATTTTGATAAAGCTGTTTTGCCCAGCTTTTGTTTGTTTCATTAAATCCTTTTTTTTTTGAAATATTTTATTGTAACTTTAATACTATTTCCTATATATATATATATATGAAGAAAAGAGAAAAAATAAAAAATAAAAGAAAAAAGACATTGGCTTTGTCTTAGATTTTGTTTGGCGGATATGCTGCGGGTTTCTTGCAACCATAAAAAGTTAGTATGGCCCGTCAGATGGTAGCAGGCAACAGTAGTGGAAGAGAGAATAAAATACGAGTTTTAAACAAACCAAATTGCTTAATTATGAATTCTCATAGTGGTTTATTAAGAGGTATATATGTTTATTATTTCCATACTTTACAGATATAGAATTTTAAATAATTTATAAAATTTGTAAAAAAAAAGGGCTATTTTTATTTTCTTAATATAATCCTTTATCAAACATTAGTCCAAGCATGTAGATACTGAAACTGTTTCCAAAGGTGTCGTAGTTATGGGAAACAACGCATCTTATCGGGTTATTGGAATTGGTACAATCAGATTGAAGCTTTTGGATGAGACAATTAGAACACTTGGCTATGTTCGACATATTCCAGATTTGAAGAAAAATCTCATCTCGTTGTTTATCATTGATTCAAAAGGTTATGAGTTCTTTGGTAGAGGTGGAGTTTTGATGGTTTGTAAGGGTGCCCAAGTTGTATTGGAGGGACAGAAAATGTCTCAGTTATACATCTTATAGGGTCATGCAGAATTTAGAAGAGTCATTCAGGACAAGTTCAATACCGTGGTGGACATTCAGTTTAGTACAATACATTTAGGAGCTCATAAATGGTCGTATTCGAAGAATACAGTTCAGTGGAGTTCAAAAGATATGGATAATGCCGCTTTGCTACCATCATCTACGGTACCATTGTATTCAATTGCTAGAGACGGACCTAGTGGAAAAAAGTATGTGAATGCTGATTTTGTTGAGCATGCTTTAAGTGGAGTAGAATGTGTACAATCTAGTAAGAGGCTTTCTTTAAAAACATTTGAATTTAATTCTACTTTGGGATGTGTTACAGCCAATTTTGATAAATTATAAAATCATTATGATTTTTTGGGATCAGAGATAATTTTGCAGAGTAGTGCTTGGATTCATTGGAAAATGTGGAGTATTGTGTTTTGTTGGAGTTAATTAATTTTTTATTATTGTTAAAGAGGTCAATTCATTCTTTGGTGGAATTCATGTTAAGGTGGAGATTGTTAAAATTTAGATGTGACTTGAATTTTTTGTAGAAGTAATTGAAAAATTCTAATTGATGTGCACATCAAGAAGAATTCAATTTGGAATGCTATTAGAGTCCTATATCAAGTTGAAGTTCTATTTTAGAAGCCCATTGAGAGTTGAAATTTGTTTTGGACTCGATTTTTTGGTATCCTACTTCATCAACAACTTTATTAAGAGGGTTTGAACATCCTCTACATGTTCTCTATAAAATATTAAGCTCTTCTATACAATTTTATGGTGTGAAAAAATAGATTACTAGAATTATATGATCCATTGTAATTTTCTCACTTCTTCATTACTTTTGAGTGAGTAAAATCTCTTAATTCATATACCATATTCTCATTTTTATTATTCTTTTATTTGATCATATACTTCATTATTATTTGCCATATAATTTCAACATTTCAATTCGATGATTTGTTTCACAACAATTGGTATCAGAATTATTTGATATCTTGTTTGTTTTACAACAAAAATCACAACATATTTTAAAATAAAACCCCCGTCATCTCCCATCAATTCAACAATTTATTTGCATTTGTCAGAACTAAATATTGTAATGTAACGAAAATGAAAAGAAAAGAAAAGAAAAGCTGCGTGGTGATCAAATTAAAGAAAATATTGTAATTATAAACAACAAAATAAAAATAAAAATCAATGCAATTTTAGTACTTTGTGTTTGATATACTCGAACAAAA